TTAGGTCTGAGAGGGCTCGTGTTTTCTGTCCCTTCATCCTGAGTGCTTTTATTATGGTAAAAGGCGTGTTTTTTTTAAAGGTGCAGTACAGAATCTGTCTCCCCTCATACTCCCTCTCCCCTGATTTACATCCCCCACTCCCCCCAATGGTGAGAGGATCAATGTTATTGGAAACTGGAAAGGTAAATGGCTTTCTAATAATATTAGCCAAAGAGATACTGTTCTTTGTAGCAAACCCCTGAGACCAAGGCATAAAGGCTGCTACTTGAGACTAATGCAAAATTTGGCAGCAAATGCCCTGGACCTCTTATCATTCCTAAAGATCTGGAATCTTTCTCTTGCATTCTCACAGATCAGCAGAATCTCAGCATCTCCCCCTCCTTCCCCTCCTCCTATTTTGGAATCCTAGACCTAAAATCAAAAAGCATAGGTATCCAGCACAGGTTCATAGATTCACCATCACCCCATTGAAGATTATAGATTTGGGGATCCACGTGGCACTGGGAAGTTGATTTCATTTCTGTAGTCCATTGATTCTGGGACTGTCTCCTTGGCCTCAGTTTTAATTTTACTATTAGTGCCTATCTTATAATGCAACATCTCAACCAGCCAATGCCAATCTGAGTTTTCTCTGCTGTTTCAAAGACAGAGAAAGGCCCCTGTAAGGTCATGGGTCACAAAGAAATGATCACAAATACAGATAATTGGATGCAAAAAAAAAAAAAATCCATGACAGCATTTTTCATAACAGCAACAACAACAAAACTAAAAACAACATAAATACCTAATGATCATGGAATTGTTATATAAATAATCTACCTAATGAATGGTAAATTATGCAGACCCTGAAAACATCTGCAAAAAATATAAATAATCATATATTGAGTAAGAAAACAGAAAAACAAAAACTGTATATAGCCTCATTGTCTTGAAGAAACATATACATATATAGAAAAAACTGAGAGGAAATAACCCTTATTTTTATAGAGATTACCACTGTGCGGCAGAATATAGGTGATAGCTCTTCTTATTTATACTTTTCTTCAAAGTATAAATGAATCAATGAGTATGTATTACTCTTACTTTTGGAAATAAAACTTCTTTCAAAGGTCAAAAAAGATCAATTGCTATATCAGGACCCAAAAAGCTACAGTAAATCTTCTCTTAGATTGGCTATTAGGAAGTCACTTTCTCCTCTCATTCTAAAGGGGGAAGGTATTGCCACATTATTGAAGCAATCAGCCAGTAGGGTTCTTTCAAGAGCAATAAACTGACCTCTCAAGAGAAAATGGGTGAAGCTCAGGAAATTAGAGCTGGACGCCCCTACTGAGTGGCCTAATGCAGCCCTCAAGAATCAGCGCCATATGTATTACACTTTCTGGTGTGGGCACTTTCTTTTCCATTTAATTGTAAATATTTCAAGTGATTGCAATTTCACAGCTACTTTTTAGACCAGTCAACAAGCTATTAATCCATCTACACTGAGCAGAATGTAACAACTCCAGCAAACTTCAGAGATATCCATCTAACTCTTTTGCCTGGACCTGCTAATTGACCACGTAATTTAGACCTGGTTCAAATCCTGGCACCTCCACTTCCTTGGGTAAAAGACCTTATGGAAGACCCTCTACCTCTCTGACCCTAGGTGTCCTCATTTGTAAAAAAAAGGAAACACCTTCCCCTTCCTCACAAAGGGTGATGAAGGAATTAATGAGATGATTCATCTAGGAAATGCACTGCATGCACACAGCAGGTAATAAAGAAATGTTTGGCGATTCCGGAAAGTTGGATTAGTACTGAGCAGTTGTTTTCCTAGCGGAAGAGATGGGCTCTGCAGAGTCAACAACCCATTCTTTTGTATTTCCCTGGATGACTCAGTGGGTTAGCGTGAACAGTGTAGTTCATAATCTTAAAATAGCAAAATTCTATTTGGTACCCAAACCTTGTGCTCAGCCAACTAAATTCATGACCCTCAGATCACAAATATGACTGAGAGAGCATCCACTGAGCCTTTTCACTGTTGATAAGATCTGCAATTGGAACACTGGCCCTGAGAGAGGGGATGGAGTGAGGGGTCATGTTTGAGGTGGAATCAACAGGGTTTAATGGAGCATTCAGGTAAAAGCTCAAGGAAAGATAATGATAATACCTCCAACTTCTTAAGTTGGATGACTACATGCACAGTATATTGATTCAACAATTGTCTATTGAGCACCTAGTAAGGGCCAAGAACTGTTCCTGCACAAACAGAAAAAAAATGAAAGTCTCAGCTCTTGGGTTTCCTTTCTAATGGGGGAAACAGACAATAAATAGTAAACATACGAATAAACAAGACAATTTCTGGTTGTGATAACTGTGATGAAAGAAACAAACAGGGAAATGAAGGCTATTTTAGATATTATGGTCAGGAAAGGACTCTCTTGGGGGAAATACATGAGGTCATGGATCCTGACAGATGAGAAGGAAGAAAGAAAAGGCTTATGGGAAGAAGAAATAGCAGGTATGAAACCTCAGAGTGGGCCCTGGCCCAGTAGCTCAGTTAGGCAGGCTGTCATCCCAATTCACCAAGGTTGTGGGTTTGATCCGCAGTCAGGGCACATACAAGAATCAAACAATGAATGCCTAAATAAGTGGAACTCAATCAATCAATCAATCAATCAACTCCTTGGGGTGGGAAAGATCTAGGTGTATTTGAGAAAGGGGCCAAAGGCCTACATAACTAGAGCACAGTGAGAGGATTGACAGGAAAGAAGGTTTGAAAAATGGGCAGGACCCATTCACCAAAGACTAAGCATTGAGAGAAGAAGGTTTTGAGGGAAGACACTTTCATCTTTGACATGGTGAGTATGAGGTGCCAGAGGGGATCTCCAAAGTAAAGATCCAAAACTATGTCCTAAGAACTAGACACAGTATTGGGATTTGAGAAAATATTCTGTTGCATCAAAACCACTGAGGAGTGTTCTAAAAACACTGATTCTCAGGTATTAAAACTACAGATTTCTGGAGTGCCACCCTGGGAAATTATAATTCACGTAGGTCTTGGTCAAGATCTGGAAATCATTTTTCAATACTCTAAGGTATTTGAATGATCCATTCATTCAAAAAATATTTCCTACATTCCCATCTTGTTTGTGCCAGGACAATTCTAAGTGCTGGGGATACATCTCTGAAGAGGTTACAGAACTCACAGAAAAAAGTGAACAAGTAAAAGAAGTTCAATAGTGATACATGCCACCCATACACACACACAAAAAAAAAAAATGCTGGGAAAATATAGAATAATTATGGGGACCTACACTAGATAAATCTAAAAAGATCTCTCTCTGAGGAAGTCACATTTGAGCTGGAGCTGAGAAATGAGGAGCAGCCGGGAGACTGTGTGGGGGGACAGCATTCCAGGCAGAGGGAACGTGCAATGCAAAGCCTTGGTTGAGAACTCAGTAGATTAATCTAGTTCTCTGGTTTGCTCCCACCTGAGGAGCCAACCTAAATGGGTGGAGGGCACAGGGGAGAAGTTACCATTTCATCTGTAGGTGTTCAAACAGCGAAGGATGCTAAGCGCACACTTTGTGCCAGGCAATGTGCCAGGTGGTGACACAAAGATGAGCAAGACTGTCCTCTCTCTCAGGGAGTCGACAACCAGGGAGGGAGGCAGAGGACTAAATACTGTAAATGTGGTCTCAGGGGAGAAGGGAGGCGTCCCAGACAATGAGTTCGTCTTCTGAGACAGCCAAGTGATGATTAATATGTTCAAGGTGAGCAGCTGTTTTTGTGGCATAATAAAATATGTGCACAGTCTCAAAAACTCAGCATGTCTGAATTCTGGGCGAAATATTTGTAACTTTGGATATTGCATCTGAGGTACTGTACAATGACTATATTTGGGGTGAAATGTCCTCATGATAGCCAACATTTATTGAACACTTAGATTTGCCTGATTTGATATGCAATCTCATCGTCTTCACAAGGTCCCTAGGAAGCAGAGAGTCTCATTATTCCACTTTTCTCAGGTTAAGAAATTGGAGCTCAGCAAGGCGAGGAGACTTTCCTGAGATCTCTCAACTCTTGTGACAACATCCCAGCTCTGTCTGACTTCAAAGTCTCAATTCCCACGCCAACCCCTTCCATGAATGGCTTAGCTACTGATGAAACTGCTACCTTCACCCTGGTTTTCAAAGGGGATCCCTCCCCTTCTCCCCATCCCAGGGGTCCACCTGGGCTGTTTCCACCAGCCAGATCCACTTGCTCCTCTGTAGCTGGGAGAGGCGAGAGGAGGGCTCCTTGTGTCCACACTGCTGCACAAAGTGGACGGCAGTGTCCACTGCCTGGCTATCCTCGACTCCCGTCTCCAGAGGTCCCTGGACAGCATGGAAAGGGCTGGGCCCAACCAGAGCACCTGTTCCCTGCCCACCTGTGGGGAAAATACTGGGGCTCAACGTTCAAGGTCTGAGTAGAAGGGGTTGGGGCGGGGTTAGGGTTCCGGAACCAGCCAGTAAATGGAAGGGAAGAGGGGGGAGTCACTGTGTGGCCAGCTGGGTATGAGTGGGTCACCGCTAGTCCTGCTTAAATGCAATCCAATTCGATACTTGAAAAAGTACACCATTCGCTGGCCAGTTTGCAATTTAAAGGGGCTTTGCTTCCTGCTCCCCTGAAACCCTTTTTCATTCCTGACTTCTCACAGGGAGTCTGTGCGTCTTCGGAGAGGCTCTGGGTGTGTCGTCAAGGAGTGTCTTTCCGTGTATCTCGGGCTGGCAGCCTCCCTGTCCCCTTCCCTCACTTCCTTGCTCCCTCCCTCCTTCCCTCCCGCTTGTGCCTAGACTCTTGGCCCGGGTCCCTGAGCCGGGAAGGCGGGTGCCCGCGCGGAGGACGCAGAAGAGGTGAGGTCACGTCTCCCGTGAGCCTCGCTCCCTGGCTTTTCAGAGGCTCGCCAGGAGCCGGCGGCCAGAACCCCGGACCACGCCGACCAGTGCTGCTCTGCCCGCCCCGCCGCCGCCCCGCTCATGTCTCAGTACGCCTCCAAATCGGACTTCAAGGCGGCCCTGGACAGCAGTCCCGAGGCCAACACCGAGGATGAACAGACGAAGGAGGACGAAGAAGAGCCCATGCCCAAGAACTACCTGTGGCTCACCATCGTCTCGTGCTTTTGCCCCGCGTACCCCATCAACATCGTGGCTTTCGTCTTCTCCATCATGGTGAGTTAGAGCCCGGCGCGGCCAGGGAGGGGGCACCGGGGCGACGCGGCTCTCCTGGGGACCCAGCGCGCTCTCCACGGCTCCCTTCCTCACGGCCCGCGCGCCCGGGAGGTGTCTGCCCCCCGCACTGCTCCTCGCCTTCCTCGGGCTCTCGGATTCTCGCCTCTCTGCCTCCTTGTGGAGCTCAGCCCTGACCCAGCCTCCCCCAGGCCGGCTGTCCACTTCCTCCCGCACCGGGTGCGCTCCCTCTCCAACCCCGGGAAAGTTCTGCGGCGGGCTGGGCGGCTTCTCCCCCAGCCCCACCTCCGTGGGCTCCCGTCGAGCTCTTTCCGCTTTGCTAAGACTCAGGTGGCGCACCTGGGCCGGCGACCGCACTCCCCGCCCTCCCCGCCGCGTGCGGGACAGGCTCTCCCCGCGGAGAGTCCTGGCTCCCTTTGCTGCGGGCCGGGCGCCGCGTCAGCCACACTGTGGCGGGGGGTTGGGGCGGGGGGGTCCCCAAGCGACTTCCGACGCCCTCTCCTTGACCCTGGACCCCACGCTTTGGTACGCCCTCTCCGGGGTAACGGTTCCTCCCATGGCGCTCCGCATCACCTCCCTCCTCTCCCCCGCCCCCCACTCCCCCCCCCCGCCCATCCCCGCAGCGCGCCCCTCTCTCTGCAGGTCTTGCTCGGGGCGCGCTCTCCTTAGGACGTGGCGTGTCTGGCGCTGCGCCCGGGCCGGGACTGGCGGCGCCCCCCACCGCTCTGCCCGGTGCCCGGCGCTCCCGGGAAAGCACGGGGACCCCGCGCTCCAGGAAGCTGCGGCGCCCTTAGCGCTTCGGCCTCCCAAACGGCGCGCTCTCCCGAGGGCCGTCAGCGGGTGCTTTCAGTGCTGGGTCCGGAGCTCGCCTCGGCGGCCCTGGCAGGAACTCCCAGGCGAGCCCTACGGAGGGCCACGAGCGCCGCGAGGTCCCCCTCGCTTTATTGACTGGAGCAACTGGCCAGGGGGTGGCGGCGGGGTGAGGTTCCGACAGGCACAGCCCAGGGACAACCCTAGCAGTGCGCTCCCTCCCCCACTGGCGCCACCTCTGCAGCCGGGCGACGGAACTCCCCAGCCCCCAGCCCCACTCAGGTCCGTCTGCATTTGCCCATGGGTGGCACCATTCAATTCAGGGTACCCAGAGAGGCCTCATGTACGCCCGCCCGCCACCTGCCTTTTCCCAAGCCGGGTTTGCAGGCTCTGCAGCAACCTCCAAGCGCAGCTGCTGGGCTTCCAGCTGCCTGGGTTCGAACCTCAGCTCGGTCATGTGCTAGCTGAGCGATCCCGGAAGCCGCGGCCTGGCTGCCGTGAAATGGGAATGGCCATTGTTGAGGGATTGTACTGAAGTAGTAAATGAAAAACGTTTGAAACGGTGCCCGCCACAGTCCTATCAGATCAATGTCACTCCCTGAGGCCTTTGACCTCTGTTTAAAATCTAGCCCCTACAGCTCCCAGCGCCCTTTCCTGCTGCTTTTTGCCCAAAGCACTTCATCCATCTGATAGATGGTTTTCCTTACTAATATGCTTGCTGCCTGCGTCTCCCTCATGAGGGCAGGGATATTTGTGCTGTTTGTTGCTGTTTCATCACCTAGAATAGATTCTGGCAGGTGGTAGATGCACAAGTATGAAAGGAATGCATGTTTGAATGAATGTATGGTGTTAATGGACCACAATGCATGCTTTTCCCCATACCAGAGCCCTGAAGCCACCTTATTAGGTTCCTTAGAACCCAGCCAGTTTCCTTCCTTCCTTCCTCTCCCAGAATATTAGATCTTGGGGGAGGGGGAAGGGGTGGTTGCAGCAACGCTGGGGAGAATACAGCTGCCAAGTTCTCCAGACAGCAGTCAGCTCTCTGGCTGCTGCTGGTGCCCACACACTATCCTGGTTTATTAATGAATCAGCAGCCAATCTGCTTCTTTCCCAGAACCCCGCCCCCCACCCGAGATGAGCTAACACCATACTCCAGCCGGTGGTGACAGGTTGAATGCTAATGATGTCACTTGGTGTGTCCTGGGGGACAAGATGTGTGCATGCTTTGAATAGAAACCTTTTTTCTGACACCCTCACCCCCCCCTCTACTCCCAAGCCTTTTAAAAATAGTTTTATTGTAAGAGACCATTCTGCTGCCAGAACACAGACCCTGGAGTCGGAACGTTAACCCTGAGCAACTTTCCTGCCTTCTCAAAGCCTTGGTTTCCTCATCTAGAAAGTGGGACTGTTCTTAAGCTGAGCAAACCTGTGTAAGGATGAATCGAAATAAAGCTCCCCTGCCCCCTGCAATAACTGTCAGACAGATGGACAGATGGTGGAGCCTGGAAACATCATATGTCACATATGAAAATAAACAAAGCATGAAGGAAGTAAAACCCAAATTCTAAAAAGAGTTTCCTACCCCCTACTCATTGCACTCCCTCTAAGGTACTGGGAGTGTCTTCCCACTGAAATAGTGCAGATCTGGGCTAGACACGTCTCCTGATAGAGACTTCCAAGTCCAAAGAAGCAAGAGGAAGAGGAAGGCTGTGCAGGAGGAAGGCTGACCAACCCCGTCAGGTATGTGCTTTCCTTAGGGTCTTGTGATGTTAAATCCCGGCCCTTTTCAAAGCTCCACCATCTGTGATTTGTGATAAATCCAGGCAAACCATTGCCCATGGAGGCACTTGGAAATCTGGGGGAGCAAGTGTGATGTCCCGTTGATCTGGGGCACTCCTCCTGGCATTTGCTATAAATGACCAAGAGTTCTAATGTCCTGCAGTGCTGGAGACTGTCCTCCCAATGAAGAATTGCCCTACCCCAAACATCAATAGCACCCATAGCAATAAATGCTATACAGTAATGCAAATTCATAGAAACATAGACGTATAGAAAATATCGACAAGGCTCAAAATAGCTAGTTCTCAGAACTGTAAGAAGAACCAACAATCTCAAAACAATATCTGTATTAAACCAAGCCTGCAAAGCCTTCTATAAAATGACTAACCTGGAGTAGGAGAATAATAAAACTATTATCATTATTAGAACTCAGCTAGAACTCAGTAAATATTGATAATGATGGTGATGGTGGGCCCAGCTGGTGTGGCTCGGTGGTTGAGCATCATGCCCAGGTTGCAGGCTGAATCCCTAGTAGGGGGCATGCAGGAAGCATCCAATCAATAATTATCTTTCATCATTGATGTTTCTCCCTCTCCCTTTCTCTCTTTGGAATTAATAAAAACTTATTTTTTAAAAATGACTGTCATTTAAAAAAAAAAAAACTATATTGGAAAATATATATCTGAGAAGCGTTCTTCAAGCTGTGGGTAGATCTTTCCACCAGCCCTGCCCTGGGAGTTGTAGGGCGGGGCATACAAAGTGCATCATAGCTTTTTGCATTGGAATGTTGGTGAGTGGAGCATTGCCAGTGGCAGGAACATGAAAGTCTTTGCTTCTTCATGAATTTGTTGAAAGTGTACTTAACCTGTCATCAATTTCAGGGACATATATCGCCAGAATTTCCCCTCCAGTCTGGGCCGCTGCTAGCCCATGCGTGTGAACTTGAAAGTGGCAACCCCTTCTCCACGCAGATGTAGCCTGTCCCAGGGCACACAGATTGGGAAGCAGAGCCGGGCTGGTTGTCAGGCCTCCTTCATCATGCTCCCAGGTTATCTGGGTGCATTCCTGGTTGTCTCTGTTTATTCCAAATGAAAAGAGACTCATAATTTCTAGTTGGCTTTTGACCCTGGAGAAAGAATGTTTGTTCATACAACACGTGTTTACTAAGCACCTATTATGTGCCAGGCTCTATACTCCTTTACCTCTATCAAGGGGTAAATAGCATCAGCAAGGTCTCTGCCCGTGGGATCTGAAGGAAGAAAGGTTCCAGGCAACTTGCAGAGTGTTGGAAAGTGTAGCTTCCATTCACCATCCATTGCTTTTGTAGCTGGAATTTGCTACCTGTATCAAGAGCCTGAAGTTGGGTCCATTCTTGATGCCATCTTTTGATATAATCATTTGCACAGTTGACGCTACTTGCTTACCCTAAATCTGGATACAAAGCCAAGGACTTTTGATTGGGTAATTTATAAGACTTCTCTGTCTAGAGATCAACCATTGAAGTTTAAAGCTTTTCTGTTTTTTGCTATGTTTGTGCAACTAGTCTTTCTGAGGCTTGATTTTTCAACCCTGTAAAGTGAGGGCTGTGATGGCACCTACTCAGGTGCTGTTGTGGACCTTAAATGATAAAAGTTAAATGTTTTCATTGCCTAGAACACAGCTAGAACTCAGCAAGTATTGATAATGATGGTGATGATGGGGGAGGAAAAGGAGAGGAGTATATTTTAGGGATGTTTCCCAATAGCAGTTTTTGTTTTTAGAAACTTACAAAGCAGTAACCAATAAACATGTCACCGTTCTAAATAATTTGCAGCCTAAAGGTAAATATGAATGCTAAACTAAAACACCTACAGTAAACAAGGAAGACTTTTGATGAAGCACAGAGTACTGAACACATCTGTTTTCTCCACTCCCTTCTGAAACCACTTTAAATGATAATAAGTGGATTTAAAAGGGTGCAAACACCCAAGGACAAGTTAGGAGACCAAGAAAAGGGATGAGAGAGGTGAAAAAATGTTAGCCGATGGAAAATGACTAGCTGAGTCTTGGCTAACTTTACAGAGCAAATAACACTGAAATCTAAATCCTGCAGAAGAAGGAGCCATTTGGGGGGGAGGGGGAGAGACAGTTTGCCTTGCAAAACCCTAGGAAGGCTCAGAAATTGGAGGTACTAACTGGAGGTACCACTTTTGGAGGCAGGCATAGAGGGTAGGCTGAATAGAAAAGGGATCTTAGAAACTTTAAAAAGTCATTAAACTATCGCGATTGTCTACACTCCAGGCATGGGCGCCTGCTCGACAACCCCGATAGAAGAGGGGAGACCTCACTCTGGTGAGATTAATCAGAATGCCTGCAGACTCCAGGCAGAGCAGAGAGTAACGTTAATGGGCTGT